AGTTATAAACGTATTATTAATTTTTATGCTTATTTGTCATAAATTGTAATTACTAAAAAATTTCTTTGTTATTATAAATTTTAAAAGAATTAATAAACAAAATTCTAATTTAGTATAAATAATGTTTTTAAAAATTAACTTTTTATTTAACTACAGTTAATTTAATTTTAACTTTAACTGAGTTAATTTTTTATTCATGCAACTTTTAACTTAACTTAATTAATTTTATAAGCAACTAACTTTATCTTTACTTATTGTTAGTTTTAAAAAAATCATTAATTTACTCAACCCTGCAATTAAGTTAAATTTATAAATATCTGGCGCGATGCTTATATATACGTATATTATATATTTATATATATGGTAAATCGTCTATTTAAATACACGTCTATTTGGAAACAACTGCGTATGAAGTTAACTAATTCTTAACCGGATATGCATTTTTTTCGTAATGAGGAAAGATTGATCGATAACGAACACCTGTGCGTTTGTGGTCAATATTGATCGCGTAATCAGACTGGGATAAAAAAAATTAAATACGAATATGCGAGGATATATACAATATATATTAATGTATTTAAAGTATTACTCATAAAGTTCGAGTTGAACAAATAAAACGAAATCACGATGCATGTGCGCGAGAATGAGCTTGTCCTACGTGACGATTGCAATTGATTGCATAAAGGGGAATTCTGAGATCGTGATGCAACTTTCACGAACTGTAACGGCAGGGAAAAGGACAGGATCCGGAAAACGATCGAGTTACGGATCTCTTCGAAATTGCAGTTTGGAAGTGGTTATTATTTTACAATTGTGATTGCACACTGAAACATTGTTAACTTGACTAAACCTTTCAACTAAATTACTATTTTGGTAATTGAATATATATTAGTTTTTAAGTCAAATACACGTTTTGCTAGATTTAATATGTTATATTTAATTTAAATATTTTTATATGTTCAATTAACAAAATAATATTTAGTTGAAAGGTTTAGTCAAATTAACAAATTTTTTTCAATGCATGTGAAAATTTGATGATTTGTTGTGACACACATTTATTACAATAGTTTATTTCTTTTTATATATATAAATTCTATAAAATTAGAAGACTTGATTGACAGAAATTTGATATAATATGCGTATATCATATGCATTTTATGAACATCCAGGAAAACATTTTTCACGACGTTTACCGATTTTATATTATTTATATTTTATTAATATATAAATATATAAATTTTTTCTATGAATTTTTCTATGAAAATAATATAAATCTTCACATATAGAAGAAGTACATATTTCGATATGTATATAATAATTTATATAAATTTAGTTTATTTAATAATAATAACTTAATTTATATTAATATAAATTAATACACAAATTTTAAATTGATACTTTTAATATAAACGTGATAAGTTTCTCGTCGAACATTTTTTAAATGAATTTTTTGCTAACGATAATTATCATAAGTTTCATTTCCTCATGACAAATGATAATAAAAAAATTGAACTCATAAAAGATAAAATGCATAAAAACGAGTCATGGGCAACACTAATACATCCATACATACATTCTAAGCAACGATAACAAAACTAAATCATCATCTTTCTCAGGAAAGCATGCAACCAGTCGCGATTAGTTACGAAACACACGTATTCTCGGTAATAATACAAATATAACACCCAAGACGTTGTATGGGAATAATATCCCCGAGTCGACGCGATGGATTAAACTATTATATGCATTATAAGATACATCGATCCTCGACATGTACGCAATCGCACTTATATGCAGAGCGCGGAACGAAAGAGAACCGCCGCGATCGACGACGCGGCCGGAGGAGACCACCCTTGGAAAGCGGTTCATTTCTTCGAAGGTGCGGTTACGCAAGTCGCGCGACGGATTACGCATTGCGCAGATCCGGAAAAACGCTTGGAATTCGTTTCACAATGACGACATATACATATGTACGCAAACGTCGCGCGCGCACGCGAGACGCCATCGTCGAACCGTCTCGCGAGCGGACGGACACACAAAGGGCCATTGTGCCGATTTTTATCCCGCGTCGCGGATCTAATCGCCCACGCGAAATGCCTGCGCGCTCTCGCGCGAATCGCCAGGCCGCGAGCCGAGACTATGATTTCAAGGAGCGCGTTACGCACATACGAGTTATTTACTATCGTATCAAGGTTGGAGCGCGCGGAATCGCGTGTGACAGATACCACGCTGCGCGACTGTCGCGGTACACCTCGGTTTTCAGCAGTACGCAGTGGAAAAAAATTTTAACAGATATGTTTAGTGTTGTGCTTAGATGATTTTTTAATTAGCTAGATAAAGATGAGATGAAAATAGGTAAATTCATCTTAGATAAGATGAAGATGATTGTATTTTAAATATATCTAGATGAAAGATGAAATTATGTAACGATTTATCTAGATAATTTCCAAATATTATTTTTAAAATCGCTTATGTAAATACAATTATTTCAAATAATGTAAATTATAAGAGGAATATAAAAATATCCATATTTTTATTTGTAAATTTTTATCGCTTATACTGCTTAAGTTCTACTACTTAAGTATTTTTATGTGCTATGATTCTATAATTTTAGATAATTTAGTAAAGACAACACTTTTTATCTAAAATGCAGCTATAGATAATATATATTTTATTATCTATACATATAAGGGTAAGATGACGTCAATCTAGATGATCATCTACAGTGATGATAGGTATGATTCTAAACCAAAATTATCGGAGAATTATTCTAGATAATTTAATAAAGATAATACATTTTTTCATCTAAGGTACAGATATAGATAATACATATTTTATTATCTATATAAAGATAAGATGACGCCAAAGTTTTGTCTAGATGATCATCTATATAATTTTATTTAGATAACAGCAAACACTGGATGTCACACATCTCCCAAACGGTCCACAGAAATTTTTGTGTTTATTTAATATTGTATAATATAGATAAATGTTAAATGGAGACACAAATAGTGTATTGATATTTTGGCATACCAAATAAATTTTTAAAAACTTCAAGTCATTTAAAATAAATTTTGTGTAATATTGACATAGAGCTTTGATGCAAAAATTTACTAAAAATATGTTGATTTTGCATTTTATCATCTCCACTTATATGTATGTCCACAGGGAAGGGCAAAAAAGGACATTTGCTCCCTTCTTTAAAATTAGTAAAGAAAATTAAAACAACAAAATAGCAAAAAAGTCAAATTTAAAAGATTAAGAACAAAAATAAAAAATCTTAATTATGCCTCTTTCTGGAAAGAATTCTGCGGACGCCTACTTATATTATAAAATAAAAAACATTTTTTCTTACAAATTTTAACAGATAAATCTTGTCACTAATAAAACGGAATATTCATTGTGTAAAATTAAAAATAAATGCACATTGTCATTTTTACAATTCTTTTTTCAATTGTTTTAATAATTTTATATTTAAGTTAATAATTTAACACATAAATGTGTTAAATATTTAACACGAAAATTTGAACGGGATCCGTTTTTAACAAGAAAACAACAAATTTTCCTATTGTATACACTGGCATAATAAAAGACAGAGAAAGAGGAGGAGGGGAGAATGCATTCTCTTCTCGCCCCAGAATCGTTTTTGTATATTGCATACCGTTTGTTTTCGCTACCCCAGATCGATAAAAATTTGTTTCAGAGCATTGTATACCTCGAGCTATACATGTATACCTTCGCGGAGTTACGGTACAGATCCTGATCTCCTATCGGAGGACATTGTTTGAAAGTAATGGAATTACGTTGGTGTATATACGGACAGGATGCAGTTAAGAGTGCGTGACGCACATAGCACTTGCTCCAATCTCTGACTTATGGGAGCGCTAACTTTGAAATGAACACGTGTGTTCGGACATTTCTATTCGTATTCCTTGCACCATGTGCATACCATTTATATGGTATCATTACACCATAAAACAACGCCTCCAAATATTACTGGTAAATATAATTTTAATACTGAATGTATAATTTTGAAAATATTATTTTTTCCTATCTAAAAAATGAAATATACAATTGTTTCTTGCTCTGTTAAGTGTTCTAATATTTATTTGTAATTAATATTTCTTTAAAATAAAACAACTAATATATTTTATATGTATGTCACAAAGGAACGCATGCTGCGACTACGATGCTAAAGGAATGCAAGGAAGTGAAATAATTGTGATCGAAAGCCGTAGCCGAATGTCAAACTACAAGTTTCGCGAAAGCGCCCAAGCACCTAGATACAACATTGATTAAATCGTATCAAAACATTCCTATTCAGCGCGCATCATCAGCATACTTTTTCCCCTTCGTACTTTAAATGCCACGTCGCCATCCGTACGAATAACAAAACACATAACTTTTCGCCACGTTCTCCTTTAAGACGGTACGTAATGGGTAAAATCAACCGATCGCTCGTTGATAGTTCAAGTTCAGTTAAATAAAAAAAAGAGGGAAGACGTCGTGCGCATGCGCGCCGGTCTTTAGTAGGTCACTCTTCTTAGTGCGCTTGTCGCTTATAACTATCGCGAAACGCGCGTTCCATCGACTTGCGAGTGTTCTTATCTATCATAAAAACGTTTATCATCAAATGTTTTCATATAAATCTTCGATAAACATCGTAAAAAAAAAAAAAGAAAAACATTGAACTTATCGCGATTCCATCAGGCGCGATTATGAAACCGAAGAGAAGAGATCTTATATTTCTCGTTGCGAAAATTTCACTGTCACGTGATGCTGATCCGCTGTAAGGATAACGTTAAGCGCGAATTTAGCGGACCACGTGTCCGCCGCGTCGCGGAGATTCAAGATGCGCGACGCGGCGCGCCGTGAGAGGCGCGCATGCGCGAGTTAGTGGGTCGCGCGCGCTCGGCCGCGCTCGGCCGCGCTCGGCTCGGATTCGAACGCGCCCGACTCCCGCCACGCGCTCGGCGCGTCGACGGTCAGTCGGTCGATTGTACGCGACATGCGAGGGTTGTGAGGAGCACGCGAGACACGCGAGAATTCGCGAGAGGCTACGTCCGCGCACGCGACGAAGAGACGAGACGAGAGGTAGCTCTTGTGCGACGGAGCGGCTGGATAAAAATCTAATCGCGAGGGAAAAACAAGACGCAGCACTGCGGGCCGAGGAGGATTTTTCGTCGTCGTCGTCGTCGACGTTGTCATCGACCCAACCGCGCGGAGAGACGAAGCAAAGTTGATCTCTCCTCTCGATTGAGAGCGCCGGGAGATCGATTCTCGCGCGCGAGGACGGCAGCTGTCAAAAGTGTGGAGCCGCGAGCGAGCGAGATATGGTCTACGGAGGAGGATTCGACATGGTGGAGACGGTGAGTTTTGATCATTCTCTGATTACATTATCTTTCTTATTATGTTATACATGCGTTTCGTGTGAATTCGTCTATCATACAGCGTTTTATTTTGAACGCTTGTGCCGTTCTGAAAATCTGTTGAAAAGTAAACATGTTTGCGTCGACGCTTTAAATCACTCTGCAATCAGAAGATCTTGCTTGATTTATATTGCGATTTAAATAGATCTTATGTGTATACGATTGCAAACTGTGAATTTTTTGCATAAAATCGGTTATAGCACTCTGTGAAACATGAATCTTTAATATTATTCCAAGAGATTCACACTTTCAGAACAAAATTAATTACAAATATTGATACTTTAACTCATCGTTTATTTATTAGGCATTTTAAAGTTTTTTTGTTCCGATTTATGATTTGTTTGCACAAGTTTATACCATAGCTTTCAGAAGCAATAATCCTACATTTCATTTCGTTTTGCACATTTATTACTAAAAATTACGTGACTCAATATTATTGCACCATAAAGCTCGTATCGACTTTAATGTTGCAAGTTGTCTTTAATGTCTGAGGAATAAAATAAAACTTGAAAATTTTAACAAATAGAAGCGATTCGCGATTTGCGATTCGCTTCGCTGCAAATATATGCAGATTATTGCGCATCTATATCTCACAGATTACAATTTCTCGCAAAATATATTTACAAATATTAAGATACTCGTGCCTCGTTATAAACAAATATGTCACGGTGAAAAGAATCGCGACAAGCAGGGTGTATACTCCCTGGAAAAACGTGGAAAACCTGGAATTCTCAGGGAATTTTGTTCTACCCTAAAAAATCCTGCAGTGTAAAAAAATATGTTAACTTGACTAAACCTTTTAACTAAATCACTATTTTGTTAATTGAACATTAGCATTTAAGAGTCAAATATACGTTTTGTTAAATTTAATATGTTACATTTAATATAAATATTTTTATATGTTCAATTAATAAAATAATATTTAGTTGAAAGGTTTAGTCAAAAGTTAACAATTTTTTTACAGTGTTGAATTATTATGGTATTTGATTTGGACTCAGGGAATTTTAAAAAAATTGCCCCTTTGATTTTAAAATATAGTTTCAAAGAATATAAAATTTATTAGTTTTATATGAAGTATATATTAAAAATATTTTATTATAATATAATACTATATTACATTATATTATGTTCTAAATATTATTTAAACAGAGTGTCCAGTCGTTCCTAAAATCCTTGAAGTCCTTGAAATGTTATGGAATTTTGGTTGTTCTTTAAAAATCCTGGAAATGTGCTTAATTTTTCGTAAATCCTTGATTTTTTTATTCTTGAACATTCAGTTTCTTTAGACTACCTTAAGAATAAAACAATTTTACTGATAAAATGAGTCGTTTTACTTATAAAAATACTGTAAATCGAGTCATTTTATTAGTAAAACAAAATTTTTTCGTCAAAGTTTATGAATCGAGTCAAGTTTTATCATAACAAATATATAGATTTCATAAGGTTGGAACTATCTAAAAATATTTAGCTAAAAGAATCGGCTGAGATAATTCAAGTAAAAAATATTTCAGTTATCTTACTTCGTAAATAATATAATGTACTATTTACTTACAGAATCTAAAAATGTGTTACAAAAAAATTATTTCTAGATTTCAAATATTCAAATATAAAAGAATATTTTATCGAATATTATAATGGATAGGTTTATTTTTACTAACGTGCAATTTATATCGACTTGATTAAAAAATAAAATACTTTCTTCCTTATAAAATATTCTTTATTAAATTATTCCTTATAAAATATTCCTTGTTAAATTATTCTTTATAAAATACTTTATTTCTTGTATACATATTGATTATATTACTGGAAAATCGTTCTTATATAAAATGTGTTACATAAATTGAAATATCCTTAAATGTCATTTCCAAATTTTACTGGACACCCTGTCAAAATACTTAAATTTTATCCGGAATTTGAACAAAAATACCTGGAATCCTCAGGGAAATTATTTTTAAGATTTATACACTCTGATAAGGTCCGATTATGTCAAAAGTACTTACGGCCCTGTCGAGGAAAGACACGAGTCGGTCGTACGGAAGGCTAACTTTCGAATCTACCACCACTATAGGCAGTGTCGATAGTTGGGCACGAAGAGAACCGAGAAATTCACTCGGCTGGTACGTGATGGAAAATTTCGCGATAAAAACAGAAGCGAAAACCCGTTGTTGGTCCGCGGTTTTCTTGGCGGCGCAACTTTTACCGAGCAGGTTTGTCGCGTCTTCCGCAAAACGCGTCGCCTTCGGACGACGACATCCGTATTATTGTGCGCGAAAATCTGTCGTTCACCTATTTTGCAAAATTTCCAACGGCCAGGCGAGCTTATTTAGGTGACCCGATTAATTGGAATAAATCGCGAGGCTTCAAATCTGAGGAAATCCGAGCTACAATTAAATACATCAATATTTTTTACAATTTTCCAAAAATTTATTTCTTCCAGTTTAGATATATTCAGGTTTTTTTTCGTAAAAGATAGCACATTCAATTTTATGCAATCCTGTCTGGAGTTACATTTTTAGAAACATAGGCTGATGTTATTCAATTAAATTCAGAATAATATATCGTCTAGTAAATGTTTTTAGTAATAACTAAAATTAATTTCTTAAATGTTATTTAACGAAAATTGTTGATAATAACTAAATTGGTAATTATATCAAAATGCGTAAATTAGCAAAGAATCTCGTAAAACTTAATTCAATGAAGATATATAATTAGAATCGATTTAAATGTTGTAAGCGTTAAATTTGCATAAAATATGCATATTTGATGTGTGGCAACTATTAATATATCACTCATTATATATAAATGATATTTGTTTTAAATTTATTAATTATTTTTATCATTACTTTGTAATTAAAAAGTAATTAAAATTTAGAGTAATCGATCTATCATTTCATATAGTGAAAAAACAAGTGATATTCAAAGGCAGATAAATTTTCCGAGATTTCCGCGCAAAAAGGTACATCCGAATCCGAGTTTATCCTCCGCGAGAAATAAGAGTTAATTAATTAATATATGAACCCAACGAAACAACGCTTTTATGTGACTTTCTATTGGACTTTGCTTTCTGTATAATAGATTATATTTCGTTGATAAACGTCCATTATATCGCGCGTCTTTCGTAAAAGATACAAATATTTACGCACGAATTTCTCTCCCTGATAATAAAAAAGTTAAAAATAAATACCGATTGCATTAACATTTATATTAGATGGAAATGTGAAAGATAGTTCCTTACAATCAATATTATTGTGATTTCAATCTCGATCTTATCTCGACGATGTAATCAAACATTACTTTTGTGCAATGCCGATAGCGTAATATTTTTTCGTGGTATCTCGTATTTTTCCTTTTTATTTTCCCGTCTTATCACACTCGGTCCTTTTTATTAAATATCTCGTTCTTCTCTTGCTCTGCTCTCACGCAGTCGATTTAAATCTATCGAATCTAAATCTACTTTTATAAGAGTTTTAACAAGGCTCTGTAATATAAATATAAATTTAACGTATAAGACGGGCAACAAGAGCCAAATCGCGGATGACAATGCGTTATCCTAACGAAACTAAATAATTTTTCGTTAGAATTAAATACCGGTGCACAAGGCACCAAATTTTTACTTGGACACGCCAAGATTTTAAATATGAAATAATCTCATATTTTGAGATTTAATTTCAATACCCTTTTAACCCCTACGGAAAATAAATAAATGAATGCAAGAGAAAAATCATTCATTTATTTATTTTCCGTAGGGGGTTAAAAGGGGTATTGAAATTAAATCTCAAAATATGAGATTATTTCATATTTAAAATCTTGGCCGTGTCCAAGTAAAAATTTGGTGCCTTGTGCACCGGTATTTATTCTAACGAAAAATTATTTAGTTTCGTTAGGATAACGCATTGTCATCCGCGATTTGGCTCTTGTTGCCCGTCTTATACGTTAAATTTATATTTATATTACAGAGCCTTGTTAAAACTCTTATATTTGATACACGCTGGCTTAAAAATGCGTTTGTTTACCAACATTAATATATATAACAGAGAAAGTATAGAATCGAAAGAATCTGAATAGCTCAGCTGGAAGAGCAGTCGCCCGGCAAGCGAAAGGTCTCGGGTTCGATTCCCGATTCAGCGATTTTCGGATCTATATTTTTCTTGCATTCATTTATTTATTTTCCGTAGGGGGTTAAAAGGGTATTGAAATTAAATCTCAAAATATAGATTATTTCATATTTAAAATCTTGGCCGTGTCCAAGTAAAAATTTGGTGCCTTGTGCACCGGTATTTAATTCTAACGAAAAATTATTTAGTTTCGTTAGGATAACGCATTGTCATCCGCGATTTGGCTCTTGTTGCCCGTCTTATACGTTAAATTTATAAATCTACTTTGCCTAGTGAAAGGAAGCAAGAAAATTCAAACTTTTCTCATTCCGATTGTCTCCCTCTTGTTTACACACTGAAAAAGATGACTAAATTAATAGATATTTATTTCAATACTGCCTAATGAATCATTTATTTAAAATAAATAAATATATATTTGTTTTGAAAAGGATTTTCTTATATATCAAATAAATATTTTCATATTAAATGAATATTATTAGTTTCAAATAAATGATTTATTTAGCAGTATTGAAATAAATATTTATTCAAATTTAATAAATTTTTATTCAGTGCAGTCTTTGTATACACTAAAAAAATTTGTTAATTTGACTAAACTTTTCAACAAAATAACTATTTTGTTAATTGCACATATATTAGTATTTAAATCAAATATACATTTTGCTAGATTTAATGTTACATTTAATTTAAATATTTTTATATGTTCAATTAACAATATTATTTTTATATATTTAAAAGATTTAGTCAAATTAACAAATTTTTTTCAGTGCACACTGAAAAAAATGACTAAATTAATACATATTTAGTTCAATACTGTCAAATGTGAAT